TTTAAAAAATATATATTTATAAAAAATTACATAAATATATAAACTAAACTAAACTAAAAATATTTTTTATTTTATTTTTAAAAAAGTAACATGTATTAGAATGATTCGTACCAATTAAATATCCATGAGAATGAGATAGAGATAAATTTGAAATATTCGTTAAATATAAATATAGAGATAAGTATAATATAAAAATTCGATGATAAAGATAAGAAATGTTCTATCTGCCCAATACCTTACTCATCAACATCTCTACTCTTTAACAAGTTAAAGTTTCAAATCTATCATTGTTACTTATAAAAAAGATGTCATAATTACTATAAGAAAAATGTGTGTAAGTTGTGAACCAAAGGAGAACAGAGGAATATGATCAATAATGAAGTTTCTCTCTTTCTTGGTTTGGCATCAAAGTCGATTACATGAACCATATATGTTCATTCTCTCTCTCTCTCTCTCTCTCTCTCTCTCTCTCTCTCTCTCATGTGAAGTCATGTTGTACATGCCATATGAGGAATTGGTTATGATATTGTTGACCATTAGCAACATTGCAGCAAATATAATATATATATGTATGAACGATGATGAACATTGTGAATACATGGAGACTTGTGCAATTGAATTATTATAGAATAGTTTTGTTGTATAATTAAAGTTTATATTTGATGCAGTATCAGCGTATAATTTTTATACGCTATTAGTAAATTATATAATATAACTTTATTAATGAGAAAATTATAACACAAAAATAAAGTTTTTTGTATTTATTTTAAAAATTTATAAAAATTTATATTTGCACATATATAGAGTGACATCATATAGTTTATTGATAGTGTATAAAAACTATAGATTAAGAGTACATCAAATATAAATTCAATAAAGAAAGGCATCAAAGAAAGGTTCATTCCTTAAGGCTGTAACTACCTGCCCTAAATAGAAATCTGCATTAAAAAAATCTTACTATTAATTAATCTATTATAGTATTATTCTGAATTATATGCACTCCGCTGGGCATGGTGTTTTTCAATTTCATCATTATGGCTAATATAGTCAAGAGAATCATGTCCAAACTCTTTGCACATGATCTGAAATTTGTATTAGAATATATAACAATCTGTAGCAGCTAGCTAGATGTCTGTAATTTTCTTTTCAAGTTTGCAAGCTTACGTAATTACCCACTTTAGATTTCAACAAAGATTCAATTCTCTCAGCCATGATTGAAGAATATATCAATGATGTGGAGAAAAGAACCTTTCCTTTAATCCACGGACTCGGAAAATACCAATTAATATTGATGAATTCTCTTTAATTACTTTCCTAATCTTGGCCATTGAAGCATATAACACATATGAAATGGTTACAGTAATTATTCTGATGTAGGAGAGGATATTAAATATGCAATATTCCTGATATAAAGCATAAGTAAAATACCATTTGGATTGATCATCCAATAATATTTCTACATCTTATAAGTTCATCCAGTATTGTTAACAAATATGTAAGCAATTATTCTAGAAAAAACTGTTTGTAGTGATCATTTATTATATTAATTGGATTGTATGCTAAAGAATAAGATTTTGTGGCATTTATTCCAAAGTAAAATACATTTGCTCCCAAAACCATAAACCATCCAACAATGAAATTTTTGTTTCTTGATTCGATGTCATTCCCACACAAAATACTCATGCCAATAATATATTGTTCCTTCACTATATGTTTTTCATTTTAAAAAAATTTATAGTCTGAAAATAAGAGAAATAGTTATAGGTATTGGAATTTGAACGGTAGACTTGTTAGATACCACCTCATAAAAATGATTATATAAATCAATGAAAGGTATAAATCATAGTCTAAAAAAAAAGAGAAATAATTGCAGGTGTTAAGATTTGAACTATAAACCTCTTAGATATCATCTCATAAAGATGATTACATAAACTAATTAAAGGTATAAATGAACAACATTCAACGAACAATTAATGAACAAACTAAGTTTAATAAATGATTATGAACAATATTTCAAGGTTCATTAATTAAATGAACGGACTATGAATATAACAAAATTCATTCATATTTAGTTCATTACAGATGAGGACGTAAATGAAGAGAATATTCAATAAACAGTTTAAGAATATGCTTGATTTTTATTCATTTTTATTTGTTTATTAAACTTAATAAACAATCATGAACAAAATTTTAAAATTCATTAATAAAATGAAATGGATATATTAAATTCGTTCTTTTTCTATTAGTTTACACTCCTAGAACCATCTTAGTTAAGCCATAAGTTCTATTCCTTCTATTGCTATAAAATACGTAATATTTGCGCATACATGTCTAGCCCGAAGATAATTTGGTTAATGAGAATTGTTATGAGAAACAAACACATAAAGGAGGTTACAGATTGATTGCCTAGTAAAGAAAACAGTGTCTGCTGTGTCACATGTTTTCATGAATTGTGGTCCAATATTTCCTCACGCATATGTAGTTATAAAAAACTTTTGTCATGTGATGGTGCCATTATTTGAAGATAAAGTTCTATAAGAGAATTGTAGATTAATAAACAAATTAGATGCTTTTGTCCCTTTCGTTCTATTGTTTCTCTTGGAGTTTAGTATTCAACCAGATATTCATCTGCTGTTTCTTGGCTGAGTGTTTTTTTTTTTCTTTTGCTGTTTTTGACAGTGTTTTAACCATGCGTCGCATGCACAGCTGCAAATGGTGTTACTATATCTGCCAAAAGATGTTTCTGATCATCAAGTGCATAAGCCCATAGCATTAGGTGGCCGACTGAGCAAGGCAGAGTTTAGGGTTTTATTTTTAACCTCTGCATGTTTCTTCAGAGAAAAGTTTAGTTCCTTAATTTGGGAAAAAAAATAACTTTATGGGTAGTTTCAATATTCAAAGGTTACTGATATTTTCCATTTATATGTATCTGTTCAAAACAAAAATTGCTGTAAAAATATTAGTCTCAGGTCAATAAAAAGAAAATTCAATTATTCATAGGCGGATTTATCCCTCGTCCATAGCCCATGCTCATGCTCTCAAGTCTCAAGCCATCCATTTCTAAAAGTTTCTGATATGCATAGTTCGACCAAAGAATTTTTCCCTTTTATTGAAACTATCGCTAGCTAGTTTATTTATGAGAATATTTTGGGGGTACTTTGTCCCGCAACTTTATTTCCTCGTCTTCGGAGTAGAAATTTTTTAACACATCCCATGCATTTCAATTCGATATTACTAAAGGAGATGATTCGGGACCAATTTTTGGATACCTTTCAGCTCAAACAAGGCAGTTCCTGGGCCACAAAATCTTTAGCAGGCACCTTATAGTACCATCAATTTCTACTAGAATGAACGAAACCAGCTATACTAGTTGCTACTTCGCCTTAATGTGGTCCAACTGCTGCAGTTAGGCGTGATTATTTTTGGCCAGGTCTTCTCCTTAGACCACCATTGGATCTCGACTTTTCCAACATATATAATTCCAAAAATTAGAATAGCATTAGCACCAAAATGAAGAATTTGCTTAGCTGTAACAATTTAAGAGCGTAGGAACGTGGTTGCTGAGATACAAATAAATAGTATTTAAGACCTAGTTCTAGCATATCAACATCCTTTTCCTCTACTAGGTAAAACTCTTGGCCAACTGTCGCTGTCACAGATTGACAGCAATTTTCTCTTTTGTATATCAAGTTGCAACTAAGTTGACAAGTAGATATGTAGTTCCTCCATGATTCATTTGGTTTCAAATCCTTAAGATTCCCAGGTGCGTATGTTAGTAAAAGGTAGATTTGGCAATTTGTTTCATATCATATTTATTTGGTTTAAAATACAAAATTTGTTGTCATAATTTGTGTTATATGTTAAAAAATATTTTTTTAATCAAATCCATATAGAGTTTTTATTCAAATTTCAAATCTTATAACTTTTGTAATGTATCATTTTTTTACTATATCATTTCATATTTAAAATTTTCTGGTCTAGTAAAATTCGATATATTAATGTAAGTAAAAGTTCCTCATATCAACAATTAGAACAACACTAGCTACTAAAAGTTTGATAATCATATCAAGAAAACAGAAAAGCAATGCTGTCCGTCCAACCCATTGTTACAATTTGTTTCTAAGTTCCCGCTCAGCGAAGTCATGAGTTCTATATCTACAGACTTTTAACAAATTCCATACTATATATAAATCATTTGGGTACAGTAGAATTATGATGACAAATGGCTGACTGATGCCAGAAGATGCGTTTAAACACGCGTGTAATTGACTAAGCAGTAACCAAATGAGGGGTTTCCTTTCACAAAGAGAAAATGGGGTTTGCCTTTGCCAGCCTGGCTGGCCCTGGATATACTTAAGTATATTAATCTTACGTTCATATCTTTGGTAAGTGTGTTCCCTAATAGCTCTTCTAGCACCCTAGAGTCTTAGACTCAAAGCGGAGTAGACTAATAAAAACCCTGGGGCCTGAGCTGCTGGACCTTCCAGGGATTGCCAGAGTTTGAGGGGCAGCAGCAGCAAAGTAGCAGTGCCGCACAGCAGAAAGGTGGGGTTTGAGAGAGTAGAGTGGTCCCTTACGGAGAGTTTTTAGTTTTTACAGTGAAGGGTAAGGGGGAAACAATAAAACATTTAACTTTCTCATGAAAGCCCACTTGCACATAAATATTCACAGAAATATAACATTATATGGTCACATAAAAGGTAACAAAAACAAAAGTAACAGCACAAAGACAGTGGGAGATAGATAAGAAGGGTATGAAAAAGCAACTACAAGCCTCATTAATCAGTCTACATCTTTGGAAGGGGAAGGATGGTATCTCTCTATGTCAATGACTCAATACATTTGCAGAGTGCAGGGGTTCTAGTATAGGTACAATGCAGAGACAGAGCTATAACAAGAGTTGGTTTGGATTTCTTTCCAACCAAATCTCACTTGTCTATTGTTTTATGTTCTGAAGACAGGATGGCATCTTTTCCCCTTCTCTCTCTCTCTCTCTCTCTCTCTTTTATATATGCTTTATTATGATTATTGGAAAGAAAAGATGGACAACTTTTTTCTTTCGGTAGAGAAGGGAAGGGTTAAATGATTGCAACACCTAACAAGCCCAAGTTGAGGAGCATCAGTTTTAGGATTCTTTTGGGTATAGAATAATCATATTTACTCCACCTATTCGAAGAAAAAATGTCTAAAGTTAAAAAAGTCATATTTGCTTCTTTTCTCAAAGGCCTTTCGAGAATTTCAATAACTCCTGTGCGTTAAGGCAACAACAGAGACAGTGGACTACAATTTCAGGATTTTTTTTTTAAAGGGAATTTGAATAGGATTAATCAGAATGCTATATTGTCATAGACTACATATCAGCATAAAATTAAGTGACAACTTCAGGATTCTATGACTAGTTGATGTGCTTGCCTGAATGTTGAAAGTTCCATGAAGTTGGTTGGTTGTTCCCTGAATCGACAAACAAATGTTCCAAGAATAAAATTAAAATGTCAAAAATCCACACTCGTGATTTGCTCTTATGGAGAATTGTCTACACAAGGAGTTACCTTCACCTTCAAGAAGATGGTAAATGGCCAAGTCATAATAGGCCTGTCATATTCACCAGAAAATATATAATAACAATAATCACATCATATTGCATGAGTCATTCTATGATTTTACATATAGAACTAATATAAGTACTGATACGATATTTTTTGGGACGTCCCAGAAAATTCAATCTGACATCAATAGTCACCACAAGTTAAATCCAACATCCAGTTCTGTCAAATGCTTCTACAAAAAATTAAGAAAATAAGACCATACAAATGGAAATTACAAAAAATGAGTCAGCATAAAAAATAATAAAAATTCCTATGTATTCAAAATCATTCAATACAAATAAAAATGGGTAAAGATAGTAAATAACTCAGGTGTACTAATAAATGGTGTACCAGATACATTTGACGAGTAAGGATACCTACAAAATTTACAAATCTCAATAACATTACAGATAAAATCTGCTGGATGCATCTAACTCCTTGCATTGTTACTGCTAATACACAGAACAAAACTAAATCAGGCTGCTAATCCTAGTTAGTGCAACTAGCTGTGAGTGTAATTAGCTCCTGAAATAATCCAAATATCTGATCCTCAACGGAAATAAGCATTAAATATAATGATATGACATTCAGGCTAACAATAATTTGGGATGAGGAAACAATTATTAATATTCGCCAAGTTACAAATCCTAACCCGAATTCCTGAAATCATTTGTGTGTTTGAGCAACATATCATAAAGGTCTTCAGCTGTAGGGCGATCAGTGGGATTTTTCTCCGTACATCGACGGAACACGTCAACAAGAAATCTAAGTGTTTCTACTTCAGCTTCTGTTCCATCAAGCTCTGTTCCAGATTGGGTCATTGCACTTTCACTCGATGATTCCAATATCTCCAACTCTTCAGGTAGCGTTGGACGTCTTCCCATCTGCATATGGTAGATCAGAAGAAATAACCTGCTTAGATCAAAGGAATGAAAAAGATGAGACAATCTCAGGATTTACAATTGATGTTACCTGAAGAAGTTCATGAATGTGCAGCTCCAATAACCCAGAATAAGGAACTTTGAGAGTCAGTAATTCAAAAAGAAGGCATCCAAAAGACCAAATGTCCACTTCCTGCAACCAGTTAGAAACAGACTTAACATCCACATATGCAAGAAGTTTAAACAGAGTCAAGCAAATCAACTCAAAGCAAATAGCATGTAGCATATCACTTCAAACCAATATCTAGGAGTTAACTTTACATGTTATACCCACTTTGCCTCCCTCCTCTTTCCTCCCCCTCCCCTTCCTATTCAACATGCATATACACAATAGTCTTCCAAGTAAATTATCTTTTCTTTAGCCTAAAAATTATCTGCTTAAGCTTTCCATACTACTCGATCATTTTCACTGAATCAAGGAATTAGAAATCAACAATTTAATAATTACTGCTAAATGGCAAGAGAAAAAACTTACCAGTCCATACCGATTACGCTTATGCATTGCACTTAGAACCTCAGGAGCCATCCAGCGAGGTGTTCCAACACAAACATCAGGAGGAGGTATCCCTAAATGAGCAATACAGCATGTATGCAGTAAAGACCTAAGAGGTACAGCTCTATCAAAATCACAGAGCTTCACAACACGGCTCCCATCAACTCTCTTCCCATCCAAATCAATTAGAATGTTTTCACTTTTTATGTCACGATGAATAATGTGCTTTGAGTGCAACTCTGCCAATGCAGATGCAATATCACGTGCAATACACAATGCAAAATCCAAAGGGACATGCTTCTCACCAGATTTAGCTAGTTTCTCAATATGAGCCTGCTCATAAGAAACAGGCTAAATCAGGTATAAATACAAGTAACTCAAGTAACCATGAGGTGACATTTAACACAAAATAAGTACCTTCAAAGATCCTCCTTTTATGTACTCCATCAAAATTGCAGACTGCAAAATTCGACATTCTGACTTTCCATCTCCTATAGGAATCCACTTTGAAGATATTTGATGTCCATACATGTCCACTATGCATGGGTGTTTCAAAGCACCCAGTATTCTTACTTCCCCCAGGCAACTGTGCTCAAAATTTTTCACCTCATCAAATGAAGCACCATTTACTTCTAGAGTGCGCACCTACAAATCCACATCAAAGAAAGAATTAGAACTAAAAAAAAAAAAAAAAAGAAGAATTGAAAAATTAATAATTAATTGATAGGCATGAGAATGTCACACCAATAAAATGTGCATCAATCACGATTACACTTAACTCATATATCTCAAAACCAATGAAACAATCTGAAATTTATCAAATCTCCAATGTCAGCATTACCATATAAACCAGACAAGACAATTCAAATAACACACCTTTGCTGCAGCCTCCATCGATCCAAATTTGCATTGAATGAGAGAACTGGAAGCCACTCTTTGAATTTCATCGCTTAATGTCATAGAAGGGAAAGAACTCAAGACAGGACTACATTCAGTTTTAGGACAAGCTTTTGCTCGACTAAGGGGAATGTATCTGGTAACAGAAAACAGATACCTATCAGAAAAATAATGAATAGAATACATCACATCTTATCTCAAACACACACACACACACATACACATGTTATCAGCACTAGATAAAAAGCAACAAATAATTCAAAATGAATCCAACTGGCTCAGTTAATAATTATAAAAATGTAAAATACAAGATTGAGCTTTCAGAAGCTCCCTCTTTCCAGATTCTAAACCTGCAGCACTATATTGAGACCAAATTTTCAAACCAAACCAGTTGGTTACAATGACAAAGTATGCTAGATACAGAACAGAGAATCTCCAAAATCACTTTTCCAAATACAAATATCCAAGAATATTTGCATTAAGTAAAGGGATTCACCGGCAAAAGTATTCAGGATCCATCTCTTCTCGTATATCAAGTGGGTGACACGCATCAAACACCATGCGAACCCATGAATCACCCCTCTTTATAGGAACGATATTCCAGGCATGTGGCATGAAATCCAAGTAGCCCCTGACAAGCTCACAAGGAACTGGTGGTTCCATCCGATCACATAGATACTGTAGCAATTAAAGTCATACCAGGTCATAATATTAAAAAAAAAAAAAGGGAAAAATATAACAATGAACCAAATTGATAAATAAAAACACAATATAAAAAATTCCAGAGAACAAAGGGAAAAAATCACCTTCATGAGCAGTGCTCTATGTCTACACACGCCAAATTGAAGAGTACCTATCGGAACAATGATGGAATTCCTCCTTGACTTTATTGACCGTAAAGATCTCTCACAAAGCTCAGAGAATACAACATCTTCTACAGTATCCAAGGTCTTGTTAGATGCACTGGCACTGTCACCATTTCCAGTTGAACAAGTGCAGATGAAAGGCTTCTTATAGTTAGAACCAGATACTGCTTTTCGAGTCCTTTCTACAATACCACTTCTATCACTCCCTCCAAAATGATTCGATACAAAAAGGGCAAGCAATGATGCTATCTGAAAGTTATCAACAGGAACCCGCTCTTTATCTTTAGCTAAACCATCTAAGTGCTTCAAATGAAATACCAAAGCTTGAGCAGAGAGAGCAGTTGCATCTAACTCTTCATCTCTTTCCCTAAAGATAACGATATAAACAATCACTACTCAAATAAAAGATTATAAATAAGATTTGCCAAGCCATTAAGCAAAATCTAGTACTCTTGACTCACAAAGCAACTTAATTCCCATTCACATATGTAAAATTAACCTGTCAACAAGAATTACTTCACGTGAGTCGAGATGAAAAATCTGCTCATAGCTATTCAACGGCATGAAAGGCCGATCACGTCCGGCATCATAAAAGCCATCTGGTAGACGGTCTTCAGTCCCACAAAATGAAGTGGTACTATACTTTTGTGATAAATTGGAGCAATAATCTGTTGGTTTTTGAGACTTGCATGGTTTGGGATTATTAGGATCCCTATCAGAATGCCTCTTTAACTTAGAATTAAACATGGATATTTCAGAAGATGAGCCTTCATCCTGCTCAATAGCTCCTCTTACCGGGACTAAAGATGCATCAAGCTGAGAACATTGAGCTTCACTACCTTTTTTTATTGACTCGTGACCAACTGATGTAATTCTTTTTACATAGATTTCTGAAGTAAGTGTATCATTCCCATGTCTAACAGTACTCAATTTTTCATCTTTGGCTTCTGATATAAGTAATATTTTGTCATCATCTTCGCCTATAAGTTCTGATACAGCTTCTGCACAAGTGCCACAGGTAAGGACATCATTATTGCCCGGTACTTCTCCACCTGCCTTCATTTTTAACACTTCAGTATGTCCTTCCCCTTTCCACTTCCTGCTGTTGTTTAGACGTTCTTGTCGAGCTCTTTGTTGCAAGTAATGTCTCCTCTTCCATCGTTTACTTGATCTCCGAGCAGCAAAACATCTACTATTTGACAATGGCACAGCTAAGATGCCTGATGAGGTCTTATAAGAGCCTGTATCCAATTTGAATGGAATAAATTAGTTTCACTGGTAAGCTAAAGACACATGTAAAAGAAATGGAAAATAATATTATGAGAAATGTGATAAGAGAAATATATAACAACTTATTATAAACAACTTACCATTATATGAAACGCTTCCATCATTATCCTGAGCACTACTTTCATATACATCCATTTCAACTGAAGAACTGGTTAAATCATCACTGGAGGCACCTTTGCCATTTCCTTCCAAATTGCAATATACCCAAGAAGGTATTTGAGAACAACTCAAAAGTTTATTGTACTGGATCGATGGTTTAAACATATAAAAACACAAAAAAGAGGTTAGATTTTAAAAAATAATAATAAATAGATAATGTGCACATGCATTAAAGTTTTAAGAAACAAACTACTAGTTCATATACCTATTACCATGAAAATCATCTGCTCCAACAAAGCAAAAAACAGAACAGAACAAAAGTAAATTGAATAGAAACTGATTGCCTACTTGTAGTGAAACACGATACTAATTAAAATATCATGAGTGAAGAAAAAAGCATATCTCAACTAAAATAGTACATCTAATCAGGATAACAGGGAAAATAATAATGAACACCAACTGCAAGTGCAATGAAGACCAAGCATAGCCAACAAAATAAAATATGATGTGGCATACGAGTTACAAACCAATTAATATACAATCCATTTAAAAGTAGAAAAATACTTAACGTCAGTACATGTACCAACTATGTTTTTGCTGCATAAGCATAAATAACACGCAAGTATATATCCTGAAATGAAATTTTAAAACAAATTAAAATTGGCTGTATCCTACAGAAAGGTGTGGAAAGGGCTTAGAGTTAGGATCATCTAAATCAGGTCAGTGCAAGCAAATAACAAGTGATTTGAAAATTTTCAGGATAACAGCTCATTCAATACCATCAGAACAGATTCCAGGATATGCATCAATCTAAGTCTACATTTATAAGAAAGTACCCGAAGATTCAAAGTCTGAAGGTTACGCATAAGGCTAAGTTCAAGAGACCCCAGTGACGTCAACCTATTATTCGACAAGTCAAAGTTCTCCAATCTTTGTAATGAGGACAAGCCTGAAGGTAGTTCGACCAATTTATTATTGGCAACTTTCAATGAAATCAAGTCATTCAAATAACTAATTTCAATAGGCAAACTCTTTATCTTATTGAATGAAAGATCCAGATATTGCAAATTCTTTAAGCATCCAATTTCTGGAGGAAGGTATCTGCAGGAAAAGGAAACATAAAGGTCATCAATTTTTCCCATGCATTGGCACACCAATGGATATACCTAATCAGGACAATTGAAGTGAACCCACAAGCATTGTTTCTAGCTGTCTTAACAGTTCAGGAAAAACAAACAATTTCAGTAAGATTTCCTATGCAAATTTCAGCTTTCACAGTATATTCAGCGAATGATTTCCTCATCACATTCTCAAATTGTCAATGAACGGAATAGAGCAAAAAAAAAAAAAAAACTCCTTTGCTATCATAATATAGCATGCGAATAAAAAACATATACGAAAAAAAAAAAGCCGAAATTTTCTTAACTGAATTAAAAAAAAAAAAAAAAAGCTTAAAGGGTTAATAAAACACATACCTGATAGAAAAATAACAAACAGAAAGTTTGGTCAAGCACTTAAGCCCAGCAATCTCACTCAACAGAGTCAAAATCGAAGGCCTAGGCGGAACCCTACTGAGTTCCAGCTCTTTCAAACCTTTTAATTTGCTTAAAGCCATCCCATTAAAACCCGGCGACGATATCTTAACCTGTAAACACTCCAACCCTGCCAAACCCCCAACCTCCGATGGAAACAAATTAATTTCGTTTCCGAAAAACTTCAAATTCCTTAACCGACTAAACGCCCCAACCGATTTAGGAATCAAATTGAACACGTTCTTGTATAAATAAAGCCCATCAACGGAATCCCTTGAGTCTCCTAATATCGAAAACTCCACGCTTTTCCCAGAAACATCAAGAACCGAGTCTTCATCCGTACTACCATTACCACCAGCGTTTTTGTTATCACCCCCGCCGTCAATGTCTCCGGTAACGGCGGCGGTGTTGTTATTTTGGTCGCTATCCCTTTCGCCTTTTTGTAGGTTGGGTTCTTGGTCCGGGTTCTCCAGGGGCTTGTTATCAATGTCGCTGGAGTCAGGGAGCTGCATTGGGATTGGGGAAGCAAAGTCGTAACTTCAGTGAGGGTAAACGGAAAGAGAAAAGAAGAAAGAGGGATTTGAAAAAGAAATCAGTTTAGCAAGGAGGACAAAGCGTGGGGAAATTGCAGAGAAAGCGAACGGAAATGGAAGAGATGGGAGCGGAGAGGGAAAAAGTTGGAAGCAACCGCTCCCCTAGCGTTTTCAGTAGAAAGAATTCAAAGGGAAGAGAAACCCTAGAGCCTAGAGGAACCGTAGTACTTCTGTTAAAAATTCTCTGTATTTTTTTTACAAATAAAATGATGTGTAATTTTTTATGATTTAATTTATTTTATGCGACTTTTTTGGAATGACAGAAATAACCTTCAGTTGTAAGTGGAGGAGTCAATATTAGTGCCCAAGTGAGCAAATTTGAAATTGCTTTTATAAACTAGCGTTTGGCCCGCTATGCCGGGGTTAGTTTTTATATTTTAATAGGGAAAAATCAAAATTATCTTGATAAAATTTAAATTAAATTTTTTATATAAATTTTCTTAAATAATTTAATAAAAATTTTAATAAAAAATTAAATTCATAAATTGATAAAATTCAATATGAAAATTAAGAAATATAAAAAAATTGTTGTAAAAATTATTTATAATTTAAATTTGATAAATACTTATTTAATGATAAAAATTATGTTAAAATTTTTACCGAAAATTTTTATCTAAAACATATATCAAAATTTTTTATTTTTATTTTTTAAATTTTAATCAATGTCTAAGTCTTTTTAATTTATCAATTTTGATTTTCAATTTTAATTTTTATTTAATCATTTTTAATAAAAAATTTTACGAACTTTACTTAAAAAATTTCATATAAGTCTTTCTCCTAATTGATTTGAAATTTGATATTTATTACTTTACTTTTTTTTAGGATACTTTTATTTACACCACATTTTTTATTGTTCACACCAAAACACTAAATACACCCTCAATTCAAATCCTAAACTCATATTGATACTCTGTTACACCTAAAACCTAAATCCTTATTGTCCTAAAAACACCTTCACACCCCCTCACCCATCACACCCAACCCCCATTTCAAACCTTAAACCAATCCATCCTCTTTTTCAAACTCAAACCCAAAAATCTCCTTAAAATCAATAAGGTAGGAATTAAATTACTAATGAAGCTATAATTTATAGGTAATCTCTTTTGATTGTGTTTGATTTTTGCATTGAATTTGTGATGGAATTCATATGTTTAAGTGTAATTTTTTACTAAAATTGTAGAGCAAGATTTGAGAAACATGTTGAAAAGCTAGTTGTTGACCGTATAAAGGATGATTTGTTATAGAGGAAGGGCCTCCACCCATCAATGCAATGATAAGCATGGAAATGATGCAAATAAGCAGTGTGAACATTTTCTTAAAAGGCTGATGGATACTTAAATCTTTAAAAGCTTCAGGTTTCACATTACAAGCAAAATATGGTTTGGACAGGTAATCAATTCAATCACGATGATGGTTATACTTTATTATTGTTACTTAATGTTTGTAAAATTAATAAGTAGTTTCTATTTGTTATTGTCATAATAGGATCAAGGCTTCTGGAAATTGATAAACCATGGGCCAAAATTATAGCAATGGCCTCTAGATGGCTCTCAGCAACGTATTTGTGCCAGCATAATTCAATTTAGGTTTGCGTCTTTAATTGAGTACACCTATCAATTATGCAATAATACGATAGTTTTGACATTTTGTAAAAGGTGACAGCCTGAGACAAACACCTTTCACTTCTTATTCAATGAGATGACAATCACACTGGATGACGTGTTTACCATTCTTGACAAACCTGTCATGGGAGCTATGGTCCCATTTCATTATGTGTCAATTGATGAGGTGAACGCGATTTTGATGGAGTTACTTAGAGTGTCGACAATTAAAACAATGATTAAAATGAAAGCATGTTGTGATCCATCAATTAAGCTATAATGGTTATAAGATATATTTAAAAATATTATGGATAAAACATCTAATGAAGACATATAGTGTGCTAGCAGGGTTTATTTGCTTCATCTTTTAAGGTGCATACTATTTGTTGACAAAAGTGCAATTAGTGTATCAATATCTTACTTAGGTCTGTTGAGAGACCTCAAAAACATTGTGGCAATTGACTTCTCTCTTCATTAGGGCTTGGGGACCATTTTAGATTGTTAAGGCAGTCAAATGCTTTATTAGGAAGTTGAATGCTCCTTTGATTTATTGATAAAATGATATTTTTAGGGTTTGAGAAGCATTCTGGATTATTGATGTAGTCGACTACTTCATTGGAGCAATCAACTAATTCATTGTGGAAGTTAACTTTTTCAACAAGGTAATCGATTTCTTTCTTCATTAGGATTTAGTGAGCATTCTAGATTATAAGAACAGCTAACTGTTTGTTGATGCAGTCAAATAAACATTTGATTTATTAACAAAATAATGTTTTGAGGGTTTGAAAGGTATTCTGGATTGTTGAGGCAACCAACTGCTTTAATAAAACAATTAATTATTTATTCATTAGGGTTTAGTGAGCATTTTAAATTATAAGGGCAGCTAACTATTTCATTGAGATAGTCGATTGCCCTTTTGATTTTCTAATAAAATGATGTTTTCAGGGTTTGAGGAGAATTTTGAATTGTTAGGACAATCAACAACTTCATTATAACAATCAACTTCTCTCTTCATCAAGGTTTATTAAGCATTCTATTTTGTAAAGGCAATTGACTACTTTATTGAGACAATCAACTACTTTTTGATTTATTGATAAAATGATGCTTTTAAGGTTTGAGAAGCATTCTAGATTGTTAAGGAGTCAACTGCTTCATTGTAGTCAAATTTTTCAACAAGACAATTAACTTCTCTATTCATTAGGGTTTAACGAGCATTTTGGATTGTAAAGGCAGTCAATTGCTCATTTGATTTTTTTATCAAATTATCGCTTTTAACAAATTTATTGGTTATCATCCATTTAAAAACATGCTAAACCTAAACACAACATTGAAAAAACAAGGCAAAAAGGTTAAAAAAAAAAAAAACCCTTAAACAAAAATTCATTAATCATTTAAACCTCTAATATTTTATTACATTCAATCAAGCCTTGAATTCTCTATTTTAGATTAGTTGAACCTTTAAACATATATTTTCACCTCAACTGAGCCCTTAATTGAATAGAAATAGATGTTGATGGTTAGTCAATTTTTGTCTAATAAGGGCTTAATTGATGAAAATATATGTTTAAAGCTTAATTGATTGCAATAAAACAATAAAGACTTGGATAATTATTGAATTTTTGTTCAAGGGCTTTTTTTTGCTTTTTAGCTGAAAAACAATAATGAAAATTACATTATAAGTTACAACATTACCAACATATACATAAAACAAAAAATGTGTTTGTTGAACAATAAATTTAAATCATTGATGTAAAGTACATTTGAAACCTCATATTATTGAGCAAACTCATATCAATTGCTATGCCAGTTGCATGCAATTGGAGGTACTGGTGAGACCAACTTCATTAATACTTGCAATAAATTTTGTGCAATTATTTCAAATGTAATTATAAATAATAAAACACGATACTATCAAATATAATTTTTAGTACCAACACAAAATGAAAATCATTAACAAATCAAATCTTCATAACTTTGTATTTTAATGGTGTAGTTAGTTCAAATCTAAGAGGGAAATATATGAGGCATTGTCTCAAATTGACGTGGAATAGAATGACATTATACTATAAGGATATCAATTGGCTCATATAAGGTAAAGTTATCAAATTATAGTATGAAGTATAAGTCTTGAAACACAATAATATTTTTTTCAACTCTTTTGCACGCTCAATGGATTTATATAACATCACATATTTGTCTAATGATTAAGTTCATCAATTAAATTTCTTCACACTTGTGCCCAACGATCTAAACCCATTCCAAGCAACCCAATAATAGAATGAAAATCATAGTGTCCACCTGCCTTTATGGTACTCTTTATGTATAGTTATTACTTCACTGGTAAATTATTCAAATATCTCAATTTTGCTTTACCCTAGGAATGAAGAATGAAAAGTACATTCATCTATGTGGTCAATTTCACTAAATTGACAATGATTAATGTTGATGTACAATCTTGAGTAGATAACACAATCTTTCTATGTGAAGGGTCACGTTAGGTAGATGTATCTATTTTGATAGCTCTATGACCTTTTATCTTATCCATATATAGTAGTGAAACCAGGAAAGTTGTTGACAAATTAACTAATTCAATTAACTTTCTTGTCATGGCCAATTTATTAGCCTTATCACATTAGTTGAAATGTTTTATAATTCATTCCACCTCATTCAATGGCAACTCAAAAGACATCTCATTAACTGACTCTTTATTAAGTTCAATTTTGTCTAATAAAGATACATTTCAATAAAGAAATTGGACTTTCTATCCTTATATACTCTAGAATTTCATGCGCAAAAAGTATTATGCTTGCCACTAATTACGCAATCACATGCCTTCTTATTAATCCTAACTTGATTTGCTCATTTGGCTTCTATTAAAATCATATTGAGTGCATTTTTAGATACCAACCATCACAACTTTTTAAATAATGTTGGCTTGTATTTATGTTCAACAATTGTAACGCTTTCTCAAGTAAAACCTTTATCTTCGTATGTTGGAGCTTTAAAAAGGAGTTGATTATCTTACATGATTATTCAAAATCCTTTGAAATAATCTGAGGTGCCCTTTTAACTTTATATATGCACTAATAGCTTTAAACGAATATACAAAGGTATATTATAATGAATGTCTTGTTATAATTTATGGATAACAAAATAATCTTAATAAAGGAATAGAAATCATACATATTTGTTGTAAGATTACCAAAGTACATTATTTTGTTCGTCCAAGTAGCAATAATTTTATCCTTATACTTTATCAATAATTGTTCCTTTATATACTTGATTACTCTTGGATAAGTCTGATAATCAATTTTTAATAAATTTAGATGCCTTTGGTACTCATCTTAGGTATAATAAAACACAAAGACACTTCAATCTGACATGAACACCTTTCATTTTTTCTTATGTTAAAAAAATTTCTTACAATTTGCAAGCATATTTCTTTACGATAGGCAATTTGCAAAGAGGATTTGTTATGCTAAGGAACACTGCTAGTGTTGCATTCATCAATGCCAAGTTTGTGTCAGTAGCAATAGTAAAAGGAAATATACCTTCCGACATCAAACTTTTTAATGTACAGTGCCCAGTTATAATTATCATAGCATTCAACCTTTATGTACACAAATGCAACAAAAATGTCATTTTAGTGAATGTCACACCACTAATTTCAAGCAATATGGGACGATATTTGTTGGTTTTATAAGTACAATCCATAATGAGAATACTTGAAAAGGCATGCAACAAATCTATACTAATAAGATGAGGCAAAATAAGTCTTTCACATTGTCACTTGTCTCATTACTAATATACCACTACACGTATTTACAATTGTTCAACCTTTTCATGAGTTATTGCATTTTGTGATCTATTAATTTTTTTCAATAAATTTATATATTTACGTTTATTATATATAGTCTTTATAGTACTGACATTTCTTTTCATCATGTTGGTTTAAGGTTAATAATATGTTACCATATTATTTGACATATAAGTTATTGTTAGTTTTTTTATTAGATATTCTACCCACAAATGAATATCCTTTTAATTATTTTGCTAGTAGATGATTATGAAACCTACAAACTACTTTTACACCCCATTCATTATCTCTTACCGATTTAATCTTATTTAACTCAAATGGACAACCATACTTATTTGTTCTCGTTCCTTTATGTTGCATTTCTTATACATTTGTCTTATTCTTTTGTTTCTTGTATTTTCTACTAGTTTATATGTCAATCTTATTCTAGGTTTCCTCGTTAGACCCCCCAATTCAGAGTTCTTAATTAGAACAATAAAAGCTATTATTTTTTTCAATTTGCCTAACCCATGAAATTAGGACTTTTCTACTAAAAAAAAACCTCACAACATATTTGACTTATCATTTTGTGTGTCTATATAAATTAACCTTAAAATAAAATCTTTATCAATTTGTACAATCTAAATTTAATAACATAATAACTCTCCAGTTGTAAACGAAGAATCATAATCGTATTTATTATCCAAAATTATGTAGTGATTTATTCCACTTAACAAGTGTAGTTTTTCAAACTATTCTGCATTTTCAAATAAGTTAAAATATTAGAATAAAATGTTTTTGGATACACATATTCAAAAATCACATTACATTTTCATATATGCATATTCAATAATATAAAGTATATTTTGGATATGCATATTTGAAAGCTAGTGTATATTATCAGATATGTATAATTAAGAAGACAATATTTTTCAGATATGCATATCCAATAACATCATTTATTTTTTAAATCTAGAGATCTAGAGGTGCAAATTTTGGAACTAAAATTAGCTTGAAATTTTGCCTTTTTTTTTTTTTTTTTGCATTCTTTATCCCACCAATTTTCTTTTCCATTTCGTTATTCATTTTCATAATGAACAAAATAAGAAGAGAAGTAGTAATGATTTAGGGTTTGTGATTGAAATAGGGATGACAAAAAGAAAAAAGAAAAAGAAAAAAGTAGGATGGGTGTAGGAAAGGTAGAAAAGTAATTTCATAAAAAATATTTAAATTATTTCACTTAAGAATAATTTTGTGAAAAAAAGATAACGAGCAAAACTAATGGTGTAAATAGATAGCGTCTTGTTAAATTCAATTTTACCTACATTTTTGGATGCAATTATAGTCACCTTTGATGGAAATAGAATATTCCATTTACATTATAGATTATTCTATTAAGAATTTTAATTGTTTTTTAATTTTTATTATACAAAAATAAAATAATTTATTTTAAAATCTAATTAAGGATAATAAAAATTAAAATAAAATAGATTTTTTTTCTTAAAATATCAAGAATGCCATTTTTTCTTTTTAAAAATAATCTTACTCCTCAAAGAAATTTTAATAACAAATAACTCTAATAATAATAATAATAATAATAATAATAATAATATAAGACTTGATTTAACTTACTAAGAAATCATCAGAAACAAGATTTAAGATAAACATTAAAATTGAATGAATTGATCACTGAATATTATGCAGTTGATGGGAGGACTAAAATTAATGCATAATGGTTCTCATTGGCATAAAATCTGTCAAGTTTTTTCATGAAATTGTGTCATTCAATTAAATTTATTTGTTACAAATTTGTATAATTTCTTGAGGCTAAATTCATTCTTTTCTTGTAAAAATTCACAGTACATAAGCACATGCATAATCTCTACATGACTGCTGCTGTCATCACTCCTGTCTCCACGCTTTTACGGGGTTTCAGAGCCTACATTTTCCAAGCATGAGAATCCATTTCAGCAGAAATCTATTTTGAATCGACCTCTCTGTTGAATGCTGTTCATTTCAGCAAGTTTAGGACAAAGAAACAAAAAGAACAAGAAGAAGAAAAACAATATAATTAGAACCTTTATATAACCAGAAAACATAAAATAATAATAAAAAAAAAATCTAATGTTTAGATGGAATCTCACCCTCCACAAGTCTCGCGCATCAAACCATAGTTGGTAGCTTAAGACCTGTATCTGACGAATAAGCAGTGATGTTTAATAAATTTTTTGTTAAAAATTTTTGGGAATAAAATTTTTTTAAATGAAAAAAATGAAATTATTGGTTTTTTTAAATTAATTTTTTAATTTTTATAATTCTTATTTAAATTTTGAAATAAAATATTTTTATTTTTCATATAATAAAATTAAAGAAATAATTATAATACTTTATAGAATATTTTTTAATCTAGATGAAATATTCTATTTTCAGTTTTAACTAGAATTGATAAAAATATATGTATATAGTAAGATAGTAAAATTGTATAAAAAAAGTAAAATGGTAAATATAGAACTCCCGATCTAGTAAAGTGATAAATTTGACCATTATCCCTATTTTAAATGTAAATTGCTTAAATTTTTATTTTAATAGAAAGTATATATACTTAGTTCATTTGATAATTTATTTTTTTTAAATAAAGTAAAAAATAAGATTGACAATTTGTTTTGTTTTAATAAAATAAAATGAAAATAAAAATTTAAGTTCTTCGAATTTAATTTTATTTGAATATATAAAAAATATTGTTTAACATTAAATAAATATTTATTAGTATAATTATGATTTTTTTTTTTTTTTTGTTTAAGTGAGAGAGACCTATTACTTCTTCTGTCCCAACCTTATCCAAAATAAATTATTTCTCAAAATTCGATTTAAAGGGTAAAAAATGCCCAATCAGATTTTCCACTTGATGGTTCATCAGCAATGCCGAAGTGGACCTCATTTACTACTGTGATAACCTGGCAGCATCATAGCTGCTTAATGTATCCATCGTAGAGATTATAACTGGCTATGAACTCTGAAACCAAGCGGGAAGAGGCTAACACAGCCAAACTGTCTTTCTCAGTTCTCACACAACCAAACGCGGGTCTCAAGCGTCGTTTAAACGAAATTCCACAAGCTTCTTCCTGCCTTTTAAATCTCAGGTCCTTCGTTAATTCACTCCCATTTCAAATCAAAATCTCCCTCTCCTTCACTCTCTCGCACGCGAAAAACAAACAGAAATTCTATACTGCGACGAAGATGATCGCTACACTAAAGTAAGTTTAATATTTCTTTTACAAATTCTTGTTCTTCCTTTTTCTTTTCTTGTTTGAGTCGTAAACGAGAATTTGCTTGAAATCAGAACTGAAGAAGCGAGCCAGTTACAGCTGGTGGAGCGAGAAGATATCGATGACGAAGAGTATTTGTTTGAAGCCATCGACAAATGTAAACTATTTTCATTCTTCAGATTCTCACTATATTTCCGTTTAAAATTTGTGATTCTAAGTTGCACTATTTTTGAATCATTTCTGCTGTCTACGATTTCTTCATCTTCTCGTATCAGCTTGTACGCGTTCTTAATCTTCGTTTTGATCTTATGCTTGCGATTTGATTGACTACGTAGCTCTTCTTTTTGGAGATTTTTGAGTTGTCGCGATTTTTAAGTGAATTAGCCTGATTTTCTTGATTATTCTAGAAGTTTTATTTTCTTTCTTTTGAGCTTCAGATCTGTGTTCTGTTATTCTCTGTTTCAACTAAGTTGTAAATTTTAATAAATAAGCATGTTTCCCTGATGTCGCTTGCAAATCGTTGTTGAAAATATATGAATTTGAACATTTCTTTGTTTTTTTAAATTACATTTAAAAAAAAAAATCATTTCTCTTTGTTATGTCATAAGATTCCATTATTTAACGAAGATTATAGATTTTTAGTAATTTTCTATGCTTTAATGAGATGCTTAACGAGTTTCTCAGTTTATTAGATTTGAACTCCAATATTTTCTTTTGGTGCAGTGATATCTGCAGGAATCAATGCCGGAGACGTGAAGAAGCTTCAAGATGCTGGGATCTACACCTGTAACGGTTTAATGATGCACACTAAGAAGGTAAATTCAAATTTAATTAACATAATTGGAGTTTTTAGTATTATGGAGGAAATAGTTTTTTAAATTATTATCATATTCATGTCTTTTGCAGAACTTGACTGGAATCAGAGGTTTATCCGAAGCTAAAGTTGATAAGATCTGTGAAGCAGCAGAGAAGATAGTGGTTGGTTGAATTCATCTCATTGATTTGGTTCTTTTTTTCTTTTGTCAATTTTGTTATTTCTTTTTTTTTTTTTTTTTCATGTTTTGTTTCCTCAGAACTATGGTTATATCACCGGAAGCGATGCTCTACTAAGAGTAAGTTCAAATTTCATGTTTTGTTTTTCTTTTCTTGTTTCACGTTTTTAATTTATGTTTATGGTAAAACTGAATGCCATTTGGGTATTCTTGTTTTTGGCTTTATAGAGAAAATCTGTGATTCGCATCACAACTGGAAGCCAAGCCCTCGATGAACTCTTAGGCGGTAAGTACTTCTGCTCTTTGGGAGATATTTCATTACTGTTAATATATTGATTAAAGTTCTTTGTAAATGATTTGTAATTATGCCTAAACTTTTAAAGGTGGAATAGAAACTTCGGCTATCACAGAAGCTTTTGGAGAATTTAGGTCAGAACAAGAGCATATCGTTTACCATTTTCTCCTATATGGATATTAAATACTACTATCATTTGCCAGTTGATATCTTTCCTGCTGGTTCATGTCTATCCTAATTCATGATTAACTTGTATTCTAATATACAATGTTGATTTAGGTCTGGCAAAACACAGCTGGCACATACTCTATGCGTTTCTACACAGGTTTCTAATCTCATCTTTGTGATCCATGATTAATGCGAGATCTTTATTAATTCTTTGAAATTGGGGATGAAAGAAAAACAAAATAAAGAATTGAGCTAACCCCGTTTAATCTACTCGAAACTACCTGTGTTAATTGGCTTGATCTGAAGGAAATTTGATTTGTTCAAATTGACTCTTGGAATGAGAAATTCCCTCAAGGTTTAACATTGTTAATGCTGGATATATGACATGTCTGAACTTTGAATCATAAAAAGTAGTACTTAGTAAATCACGTTTGTTCACTTAACCTTGATTTGTTTTCAGCAGAAGGCAGGACGGCAGGAGCATATATCTTCTCAGAATATCATAATTAAATATTTTTTGTCAGCCAAATATTTTTTAAGTGCTGGTATACTGAACATTGATTACGTGGCAAAAATATTATGCGGGGTGAATGGTATTTCGATTTAGTTCAAGCAGCTGACCCTATTTTGCCATATACACATTGAACTTTGTTAATCAGGCTTTTATATTGCCTTCGCAGCTTCCTGCAAACATGCGAGGAGGGAATGGGAAAGTTGCTTACATTGATACAGAAGGAACTTTGTATCCTTTCTATTTTTACTTAGGACAATATTATGTTACTTACCCATAAAAAACATACACATAAGTATAAATAACTGTTTTGTGATGACATTTTTTTAAAATAAAGGAATAAGATGGTTTTTTATTAGGTTAGAAATTTTATGTGAGAAAAACCCACTTATGTGTACATATATATATATATATATATATATATATACATATTTGTTTATATATGTATGAATGTTTTATGTGTAAATAACCCTTCCCTTTTAAAAACTTCTAGGTTTTTTAATTTTCGTATTCTAGTTTCTCTTGTTTGAGAAGCTAACTAAGATAGGCGTATTATCTTCAATGTATTTCCAACTAGTCACTTAATTTGTCTACTTTAACTATATACACTTGCAGCCGGCCTGATCGAATTATACCAATAGCGGAAAGATTTGGGATGGACCCGGGAGCTGTTCTTGACAATGTAAGCATCAATATCCATGTATCATCAATTGAATTGTAGAAATAGATTTCAAGTATTTTTCTTATTTTTATGAATGTCAAAGATCGTTTATGCTCGTGCATACACATATGAGCATCAGTACAATCTGCTTCTGGGTTTGGCAGCGAAAATGTCGGAAGAACCATTCAGGCTTCTGGTGAGCATTGTTGATAGCATCATTCTATAATGCTGATATTATGGAGTCCGTTTGATGATGTTTGTTTGCGCTCATATTTTCAGATTGTGGATTCTGTTATTGCTCTATTTCGAGTAGATTTTACAGGGAGAGGAGAACTGGCCGAGCGCCAGGTTTATCTTGAAAAAGCTTATTACAACTTAAATATGTATGCTTGTGCATGAGTTTATCATCTTTCATAAAATAAACCTTTTATCATTTGCAGCAAAAATTGGCTCAGATGCTCTCCCGATTGACAAAAATAGCTGAAGAATTTAACGTTGCAGTCTACATGACCAACCAAGGTACGTGCTCCAATCAGTCTAGTTAATCTCTTTAGTTGTTGATATTTTCCGGAGGCAAAAGTGCAAGTCGATAACAAGGATCACTAGATTTGTATCTAATTTTTACCAAGCCCAAAGTAGAGGTCCATCGCTAAACTATATTATATGGTCTGTTGGTTGCAGTTATTGCCGACCCTGGTGGTGGGGTGTTTATATCAGATCCAAAGAAACCAGCAGGAGGGCACGTGCTAGCCCATGCAGCCACAATAAGGTTGATGTTCAGGAAAGGCAAAGGTGAACAGCGCGTGTGCAAGGTGTTTGACGCCCCTAATCTGCCTGAAGCTGAAGCAATATCCTTGCATTATTACTATTTTTAATTATGAAGAATTTTTTTGATTGCCCCAAATTACTTAAACCCATATCTTTTTATCATGATGGCCAAACTCAAAATGACTCACCGTCATTGTTCATCATGATCATTGACTATAATCAGGGCTTCTCACATAGCATAGCATATAGCAAATTTTTATCTTCACAGTACTACAGCTTTTTGTTTAGTTATCCTTGATAGAAACACGTCTTTCAGATAACACCAGGGGGCATTGCAGACGCAAAGGACTAGCTCAGAGATGAGAGACCAAAATTGGCAGCTATATTTTCTAATATTTTCCAACTATGGAACAACTCTTTTCGTTTAATTGACTGTTTATAGTTCTTCCTCTTAGAACTTAAGTTCGCAGGGAAAGGATTTGTCTTCCCTTGTATGTTTCATACCTATATGCTAGGTTATGTTATATGGGCGGACAAGATATAACATCTAACGACGTTTCTGTAGGCAAGGTAAAAAAAATGTGAGTAGCAGTAGAGAAATAGTATTCCATCACTTCTAGCTTCAAAAATATTTGCTTTCTATAATCTACTAGAGAGGAAAACCTGTTTAGACAGAAATATTATTCCATGTTATGTACTATGTCAAGCTCAGTTTTGATGGTAAGCGAACATGTACAGCTGCATAAAATGCTGTCTTAGTTTGAAAAATACCACAACAATTCTAGAATTTGAATAGCCAAGTCATTGAGATAGAAAATTAGGACTTTTAAGACTAAGTAGGATGGATAAAACCGGGAGACATTCTAAGCTCAGTACTGGGAGGACCAGTTTGCAGCACTTCCAACTTTTTTCATTCCAGCTGATTCCTTCTTTGCGTCTACATCCACACTAAAATTTGCACCACAAACATGACCTGAACTGTCAACCCTTGGCACTGGCTTCAACTCATTAAGGGGGTGCTCAAAGCTCCTCAACCCTCCAGAGGATGTGAAGAAGCAACCTGAAAGAAAGAAATGGGGGATAAAGTTCTCGTGCTCCTAAATTTAGAAAATAATCATAGTGAAAACTATCTTAACAAAATGAAAAAAAAAACTTCAAGACATGCGTAACGTTAAGGAAAAAGATAGGTGATCCCCAATTTAAACCAAAGTTTGAAAGATAAAAACACAATCATTATGATAGAAAAACAATATAAGAAACAAATGTAGAAAGTTATATCATGCATGTTTAAGCATTAAAATCTGCATGCCACCCCAATTTCCTGTTCCACCTTGATTTTCATTCAGTTCCCATTTCACCTTGATTTTCATTCAGTCACTTTACACCAGTCTCAAAATCCACTTCAAACATGCTTTTAATCTTTACCCAAGTCTGTTTCCCCCATTTTTTTCTACCTACTTGTGCCCAACAAGATTACTTAGAATGAAAGTAAAGGAAGCCCTAGCTTGTAAAATGATGTGATAATCAACAATAGATTAGGATATTCCCTTATAGTTTTACCTTTTGGGAATGGAGCAAAAGACTTCCCACAGCCCTTCTTGACAGTCTCCTCATCATCTGCAAGAACAAGATGGCCTTCGGCGTCAGTTCCCCAGAAGAAAGGTACATTTCCTTCAGCATCCTGCGCAAGACAAAGGTAAAGAAAACTGAATCATATGGATCAAATATTAGAGACATCCACTGCATTAGCTGACAAAATTAGGTTTACTTACAGAAGCTATAAATGTGGCTTTTGAAGAGCCATCATAGAGAATGAAAGCAAACTTCCCCTGAATATCTCTTACAACCTGGTCAGGAGGGTAAGGACCTCTGTCTCTAAGGGTTCTGTAAGCTTCAATAACAATGATCCCCTCATTTGCTGCTTTGTTCAAGCCATATTGTTGCTTAAGAATAGCAACATTCTCAATGTGGCCTCGAAACATACAGAAAATGTCATCCACAACTGCAAAGAGTCTGAGAACATAAAGCAAAAAATATTAAAATGTCAATTTCTGAATCTCCATTGCATTGCTAAAAGAATAAAAGAAAAGAACAAACTTGTAAACTTTCTTGTTATAGTTAATCTCATTATATGAAATGTAAACATGTACGATTCAAAAAGGCATAGCAGCATCAATAAGTCGATCGCCTTAAATGAAATAACCAAACAAGTAACGGAGGGCCAAATCATTTAAAGTACTAGAATAAAATAAATCCAATCAAGTCAATCTATCTTTTGTCTTTCTTAAAACCATTACAATAGATCTTTAGTTTTGGACCAACTCAATGTCTATATCCCATGGTAAAATAATTCACCTAGAATAAAAACAAATCGGGCCTTATAAGCCATTGAATTAAAGAAAGTAAAGAAACAAAAGATTTGAAAGTAATGACTTATTATAAAAGAACCAATATTATACATGATTGAATGACATACTGCTCAAGGGTCCAACGTTAGAATTTCCTCAAGCAGCATATCGTTCTCAAATAATTCTAGAAAAAATAAATAACTGAAATCTAGCAGGATAGTCATCAACGACCGGCGAACAACCATTAATGTAAATAATTCTTTTCTTTGGATATATCGTTTTCTTTTCCCTTCTCGGAAAGCAAACATTGAACTAGGAATTGCATTTATAAATCACAGTTCTCATACCAAGTGTAAACAACAGAACGACCAACAAAATCTCAAATAATGTGAAAAAGATCTAAGAAGCAAATCAACCCAACAAGAACTTGGGTTTCTCCAAATCAATAATCACATATAATTTTTGTATCGCATTATGAGCCATACAAAAAAAAATCATCACAAGAAACAAAAGAACAAAAAAAGCAGAGAAAGCAAGGGAAAAAAAACACAAATTTTCTACAAGATTTCACCACCCGGAGAAACGATAAGCAACGAAACCAAAAAAAAAATTATTGGGATTGGATCAATAAAAAACCACCAAAAATGAAAGAGAAAAGGACCCAAAAATGAAATCTTGAGAATGACAAAAAAGATTAAAAAATGAAGAAAAGTTTTACCTGGGAAGAAGTGGGTTCTGTTTTTCAAGAGAGTAAGCCATGACACCAGAAGAGCCGAGACTGACGGTGACAGAACCAGGATGAACAGAGGCAAAGTGGTTAGCCAAGAAGCCATTTTTGAGAGCAGCAACTCTCTCAGAGGGATCAGGAGAATTAAGAGCATCTGGGCCCTTGGCAACCGATTTGTCAAAAACTGCTAGCATCTTTTATCCCTTTTTTTTTTTTTTTGCAAAGATCCAAAAACAATCACAGAAACAAAACAAAAGGAAAAGGTTTCTTGATCTTTCTTTGATTGATGGATGCAGAATGATAGAAATTGGTGATGTTGTGACAGGTAAGAGGAATGGGAACTTTGTAGGAGAAATTTCAGAGACTTATATAAGCAGTTGAAGACAGTTTTCTATTTCCAATATTACCCTTTTCTCTAATGCTGAAGACCGAAAATTCATACGAATGACCACATCCAATGAAACCCCACATTGTTCCAAAACTTGCATATATTTCTATTAAAGGGAAGTTTATCTAAAAAATAAATGGATATTATTTATTTATCCACATTTTTTATGGTTAAATAATATGGGTTTTTTTGTTTTTTTTTTCAAATTAAAAAAGTGCTCATGATTAAGTTAGAAGCTAAATGGAAATTAATTGTATTGATTTTGTATGCTCTTGATTCCATGATTTGGGGGCATAATTTCTCATGGTAAACTGATTTTTGAACGTGCAATTATAATCCAATTAAATGTAAATATATTTTTTCTAAATCATAACTAAAGAAAGAAGGAGTAGACTCAAGATTTATCCGGAATGATCCATTCGCTTTCCGGTAAAATCAATTCGATTTCATTGTTTATAATTTTTTTAAAATGAAAAGGTTGTTTCAGTAACTTGAGCCGCATATATATTTTTAGTACAGGAATCGGTGGCGTGGCAAGTGGCTGGGCACATTTATGGAATATAATATAATAAAAAGAAGGTTTAAGGTGAACTTTGATTCGAAAGCATAAATTTTTTATCAGAATTTCAAAAGTGGGTATTTAATTTTTACATTTAATTTAAAATAATTTGATTAAAAAAAAGATAGATTTTTAATGATATCTAAAATTTTAAAATCAAAAACCTTCTTATGATATTTTAGAATTTTTTTTAAAAAATAATGATATTTACAAATTTAACTTAAATAAAATATTTTTTTAAAAAAATATGTTTGAAAATGATTGTAATTAATTATAAATTTTTGTAATTAAAATTTTTTATATCATTGTTAATAACATTTGACGTAAAAATTATTTTAAATAATTCATCATTTAAAATATTTTTATTGAAAAAATATCATATAAGATTTTTACAGAGTGCTCATGTTAGTTTTGTTATAAGATTTTTAGATAAAAAAAATGATGTAATCATATAGGAAATACTATAATAAGGACAAATTGCAAAAGGACATGATATTACTGTATTCTATGCCCATTGTCCCTTATCATGGCTCTTTTATTTCAGAGTAAGTATTCTTATAATTAATCAAATAAATAAAATTATTATTTTATTAAAATTTATTTGTTTTTTTGTGGGTGGGGGAGAATTATTATAATAACATTTTTTCAATGCCGTTTTTGTGCACGGGTCGTACATTTGCCATGTATATGGATTAGAGATATAAATAATATATTAGTACTCGCAAACTATTTAGATTCGATTTGATTAAAATTTGAATTTAATTCGATAATTATCGAGTCGCGTTCGAACTCGAGTAGTTTGACTTATCGAACGAATCGATTTGAGTATATTAGTACCTGGTTTGAATAACTCGTGAGTCTAATCGAACTTTTTATTATATATATTCTTATTATTTTATTTATAAAATTATCATATTACCCTTAACCTAAAAGACCCTAAACTTTTATTTTCTTCTTCCCCTCTTTTCTTTCCCCCTTTCTCCTCGTCTCTTTCATCTCACAAAAAAACCCTTTGCAATACCATTTCCTCCCACTGCACTCTCTTCCAATCCTTTCGAAGCTGGTTTAGATTAAAGCCAACTCAAATCCAAGACACATCAAAGTTGGAATATCCAAGACAAATCAAATAAATTGCCTTCTTGTTAGTCTTTCCATTTTACTTTCTTTGTTCATCTCTCGCACACTTTCTCTACTACTTCGCCTTCTCCATCCTGTAATATTCTTATCAATGCCTTAAATAATTTACATTTATTTCACTCTACCTTATTATTATTATTATTATTATTATTATTATTATTATTATTATTCTCCAATCCTTTCCAAAAACCCTAAATTTATTTATTCATTTGTTTTTTTTCAAAGATTTGTTGGTGCGATTGGAGTTAGGGTTTAAAGAGAGGCTTGAATCAAATTCTGAGATAAATTTCAGTATATGATCTTCTATCTCCTGCTTACCTGCTAAGAAAATGTGGAAAAATGAAAAATAAACAGGAAAATGTTTGTTTTTCTTTGCATAATTTTGTTTTGCATGTCGAAAAATTTCTATCTCTGAGTCATATAAGCAGGAATATTAATGTTGATTTTCTGATTTGTCATCCTAATTGCATTGTTGTTTTGCTAATAGCCACATTGTTGATTTGACTAATGCTGCTAGTCTAGAAATGGTGAATTTTCCTTTTTTTTTGTTTTTAAATGCTAATTAAATTGATGCTCATTGGGAGTTGAAGGTAAATTTCTTGGACAAAATGGGGTTTGATAACGAGTGCATACTGAATATCCAATCTTTGGCCGTAGAGTACTTCTATCTTCTTTGTCGTCTACTTGTCGACCTAAATGAAGCATTATAGTTACAATGCACCCATCTTTACTGCAAACATGTTTAACCCATCATAACAAGAGAAATCTCTCTGATTTTCTTGATAATAATAATTGAGAGAATGACATAGTAAACTTTTTTTTTTGGATTTGGCTAAGTGAAATGTTTTTGAAATGTACTAAACTACTGTTCTTAATTTGTCTAATGAAGCTCTAAAACACAGTTAAAGGAAATGTCTAAACTGTTTAGTTTTGTAGGTTTCAATTTGTACAAAACCTGTTATCATTTGAAAAGAGGTGATAGCTTTTGAGATAAGAACAATATATATTTGATAATCCTAAGAGGATTTTCACTTGCATCAATAAGAAAAGCTAAAATAAATCTAAAACATTTAGAAAAATGAAAAACTCAAGATTACAAAAACATGAACAATAGAACAAATGAAATGATATCCAATTGATAATTAAGTCAATTAAGTCAAATGGGGACTGAAGATGGCTGTATCCCATTGAATTGAACAAGAATTTGCAACTTTTACATATATATGCTGGCAATAGTGAAATGTTAAAATTTTCTTATAGGTGATCATCTCATGAATTTTACTCAAAATTTATAATTCTAGGTATTCAAAATTTATTTTGATTATGTGATTAACTAGCTAGTTAATTATATGTTAATAAAGGGTAAGTTGTGCCTAATTGTGGGATGTATGATAAAGTTATATATGGGTAAAATTTTGTTAGAAAAGTTATATATGTTAATAAAGAGTGTTAAGGCATTGGAGATTTTAGTTACTACATGTGTAAAATGAATTTAGATTTTATTTATTTACATAGTTTTGCATTCTAGATATATGAAGAAGCAAAAATTGATCAATTGTTTTAGTTATTGCATGTGTATGATCAATTTAGATTTTATTTATTTACATAGTTACTGCCATCCCACTGCATTTTAGTCTTTGATCAATTCTCATATCTGGCAATGACTATGTATATTGCTTGCAATTCCCATATATGGTTATCATTTACTGTTAAATTTCCATACTCTTCCAATAACTTGTTTCTAGCAACTTGCTTGGCATGTTTCTCATAAAAAAATTTACCACATGTTTCTAACAACTTGTTTGGCATTATTGTTTGATCCCAAAATTGAATTATTGTTTTGATTTGTCTTTTTTTTTTTGTTATAGAGAACTAAACATGTCATAAACCATACCAGATATCTCCTCTGTACTAGTTCAGTTGACAACAAATTCTTTTGCTAGTCAAATTGTGTCAGATGATGATAATGATTCAATGAATGAAACTTTAGATGCCATTGATGGTAACACAAATAAAACACTAGTCATCGATACCAATGATAGAGAATGTGATGATGCTGACCTTGAAGAGTGTGAGGAAGGTAATGAGAAAAAGAGGCAAAAGACATTTGCTGTTTGGTTAGAGTTCAAAGAAGTCACTCTTTCTGATGGTTCTAAAAAAATAGAGTGTGTCCATTGCAAAAAAAAGCTAGCAACAAATGTAAGTAAAAGTACAATTCAATTTAAGAGGCATTGATAACTTGTGTTAAGCGAAAAATTTTTAGAATCAATAACAAATGATCAACTTTCAACTAGTAGACATATGTGGTGATGTACAGATACTACATACTCTCACAGATGTCAAGTTTGATATGGCAAAGATGAGAGAGGCAGCTGCACATAGGATACTTATGCATGAGCATCCTTTTTCAATTATGAAAGAGAAAGATTTTAACATAATGCAAAAATGTGGGATGCCTGAATGGGAAAAGATATCACATAATACTATTAAAAAGGATTGCATGCAAGTTTATGAAACAGAAAAAAAAAAGAAATTAAAGGCACTGTTGAAAACTGTCAGCAAGATTAGTTTGACAATAGATTTGTGAAAGTCAAGTAATCAAAAGATTAAGTACATGGTTCTTACAACACACTTTATAGATTCTAATTGGAGATTGTAAAAACACATTATTAACTTTGTTCACATACATCCTTCTTATCACGATGTTGAGATTGTCGATTATATTTTTAAGTGTCTAAAGGAATAAGGATTTGAAAACAAGGTGTTTACACTTCTGTGGATAATGCTTCAAGCAATGATGTGACGATTAGAATTCTTAAAGAAACCTTTTCAAGAAATAAAAGGTTGCTTTGTGGAGGAAAATTATTTCATGTTTAGTATTGTGCGCATATTTTAAATTTCATGGTTCAAGATGGTCTTTCTGAGATTAAGAATGTGATTGGTGATGTTCATGAAAGAGTCAGTTTTATTAATCAAAATGAGGCAAGACTTAACTCATTTTCTGACATAGTATAACAGTTACAGTTGCCTAATAGGAAACTTATTCTCAATTGTAAAACACGTTGGAATTCACATTTGAGATGTTATCGACTACAATCAAATTCAAAGAAGTGTTTTCAAGACTCAAAGAATGAGAATCTTATTACGAATGTTATCCAAGTCATGAAAATTGAGAAAAGGTGGAGAAAGCTTACGAGATTTTAGAAGTTTTTAATTCAGCCACTAAAATCATCTCTGGAAATGATTATCCAACTTCAAACCTATTTCTGAATAAAG